TTTTATCTTATTAGGAGTACTGATTTCAAATTTTTGTTTTTTTGTCCAGTAGGCTATGCGCTAAACTCTCTCCCAGCGAGCACAAACATCCCTGGGATGTATTGGGATGTTTTGAAAATGTTGGCATGAAGATGTTATTTTGAGACGTAATATGCACTGACCAAAGAGGTCTTTGAAGGATATTGAAGTATTGTTTTTGTTCTTCTGTGGCATTTCTTTGATTGCCTACTGAGAGGTATCCCTGGGATGTTTTGGGATGTTTTAGAAATGTAGACATGAAGATGTTTTTTTGAGGCGTAATATGCACTTCCCAAAGAGGTCTTAGAAGGATATCGAAAGTATTGTTTTTGTTCTTTTGTGCCCTTTTTTTGTTTGCCCCACCACAACGTCTCATGCTTTCGTCGCAATACGATGAATTCTGATTTGTTATCGATTTTGTTCTTCTTGTTCGCAATTGGCATTCGTGTTTGCAGCGTGTCACGCTTACATCACGCTGCTAACGAACAGAAAGGAATTTGGTGAAGTTTATTGTGTTAGAAGACTCATTTAGTTTGTAATAATGACCATCAGATGCAAGATGTGTTGTTCGGTGCCTCAGTGTAATCAATATATAAAAGTACGAATTCATCAATACACAGCATCTCCGCAGTTGCAAAATTATGCATTGTGGAGAACATTTCAAAAATTGGGAAACCTATTTCAAATTATGTCTGTGTGTAGTAAGCACTACTCAGAAACCGATTAAGAAGGTAATTTCATATCAAGAAAATATTTTTATGTTCAATCTATTTTTAATGCATTTTTTCATTCAAGGGAAATGGAATCCTAATGCAAAAGTTCATTTTGACAAAAGGCTTCAGAAAAGTACCTCGAAAATGATTTTTTTACAGCGATTTGATGTGCGCAAGACGCGTTGAAAATGTTCTATTGTGTCCATGAAAAGGCTTTAAAAAGAACTAGGGAGAAGGTAGTTTTGTGACATATCAAGGACATCTCGATAATTGCCGACTGCGGCGGACATTGGCTGTTCTATAATAGTTCTATTCATGTGTGAACAGAACATCGCAGTGGAGGTTCAATGTCTCGAAATCTCGTACTTTTAACATCTCTGAGATGTTTTTGTGCTCGCTGGGCTATAAACAATAACGATTATGTGTTCTGGCACAACTTTCATAGAGTAGGCTTGGAGCCAAGTGAAATTTCTGTAAAGTTGATTATTTCGGGGCAAACAATGCCGTCAACAAAAACCAGTAGAAGTACAAGGGTTAAGACCTGGTGATAATGAAGGTCGTCTCGAGTTTTGTCACTGGTTCGTCAACCAGTGTGAAAGAATCGAGAACTTTCCATTGAATATCTGCTGGACCGATGAAACGATATTTCATAATAATGGAATTTACGATAAACATAATCATCATTACTGGGCACAAAATAATCCAGATGTCATCAGAGAAACAAATTTGGTTTCAATGTTTGGTGTGGGATATTTGGTACCTTACTAGAATTTTTGTCCAAAAATAACTGTTTCCTATTGTGTATACAGTAGACTACTAGGTCCAATAATCTACGATTATAACTTGAATGGTCCACGTTATTTAGAGCTATCGAGAAATGAGATTTAGAATTTCATAGACGAGATACCACTTGCTGAATATGAGTTAATGTGGTTTCAGCAAGATGGTGCCCCACCGCACAATCACAGATTTACGCGATTGTTTAGGGAATATCTCGAAAATCAATTTGGTGCTAAATTAATTACTACTCATGGACCTATTAGATGGCCTCCAAGGTCGCCTGATTGTACGCCTCTCGATTTTAACCTGTAGGGCTACGCCAAAAATTGAATTTATGAAGAGCCAATTCAAGATATTGATGATCTACAAGCACAGAATACTCAACAATTAGTATTCTGTGCTACAAGATAGAATGATGGACACATTCCAGCACATCAACAGAGTTCATCTGAGAAAAGCAGCGAATCATGTTCGCTCGCGAATATTAAAATGTATCGAGAACAATGGGGGCCATTTCGAGCAGTTCAATTGATTTTTTTTTAGTATTTGTATTAGTTATGCAAAAACATTAACACAGAATCCATAATATAAGGCTACAGTCATGGTGGAGTCACCGAACATAAGTTACAGAACTCATAGCCTACTGGACATAAAAACAAAAATTGGAAATCAGTACCCCAAATAGAATAAAACTGTGATTGTGATACATCACTAGAATGGAAATTTTATGCTGATTTCAAATCTGTTAAAATCCAATATGACGTCCATAAGAAAAATTGAAGTTGAAGGTGATATCTCACAAATTTGACATTTTGATGGAAAACTGACAAAACCATTGAAAAGAACACCAAAAAGTGCTATGAGAATGTTGAAATAATTTTTTCATAAAATCAATAGTTTCCGAGATATTCGAACAAAACAAAAATTCAAGATTTCAGTTTTTCTCAAATATCTCAAGAATGACTAAAGCTAGCTCGGATCTCTCAATGGATTCTGTTCAACATTGAATTTGCTACAACTTTGCCAATATAACCGTTTCTCTCTCTCATAGTTACTGAGATCCCAATGGTGAGGATCGAATTTGGGACACACTGTATATACACCTAAAATTTTCGACTGGGGCGAAAGTTTTTTTTTATATATAACCTTATAATTTCCCAGAGAATGAAAATATTCACAAATATTCTATGTACGATACCCTAAGACTAGGTAGGTATCTATCTAAAACTACATATGGTTTGATGGTTCAAGTTCAAGAAGCTCTTCATTCCCATTTAAAAGTTGAAAAGCTAATATTATCTAAGCCTTTATACAGAATGTTTTGCAATGTCCTATTACTTTTCTTATAAAGAAGTTTCCTTTGTGCTTCCACAAAGGCCCTTTAAAAATAAACAGTGCCTGATAGCAGAGATTATATACACTGATAGTATAGTTTACGTATCAAATCTGAGTTTATTGTAAAACGTATTCGAAAAACGTATCCAAAGGATTATTTATTCATTTATCATTTAGTTTTATAAGATTTTCTGTATGAAAGTTCTGACAACATTTTTACATTGTTATTTTGGTACTCTCCTTTCAGTGTTTGGGTTATTTCGAGGGTGATTTCATGTTCATGGGATTATTTTACCGAACTAATTTCGTCAAGGAAAATTGAGCGGAAAGAATCACTATCCAGCTTGTAAATCGTTCAGAAAAAAATTATTTGAAATAAAAAACCTCATTAATGCGTGAATTCATCATTCGATTCGTTTCTAAAAATACCAGTGAATCCCTCTAAATAATAAAAAGTTGACTCTGATTTGGTTAATTTATTCAAACATCATCGAATTGATTTCAGGCAATTTTCATATGACCTAGGAAAGCTGAGCCACTAATTTATGAGAATTTAATAATTATATAATACCTAACAAAAATCAATAATTCATTGAAATTCTTGAGAACACGACGTATAATTACAATCATTCGAACATTTAAAAATATTCTACGGTGTTTAGCGATATAAATCAAATTATTTTTAATAATAGTTATAATACCTGCTGATCAAATATCATGATATTAGAGGATAATTATCAATTTTATGACCTCACGTGCAATGTACATACATACAGCAGGACTTGCAGATATTCTTGAAAATAGGTATTTCATTTTCAATGAAACTGTTTCTTTATCTTACATTGGAATTGTTCAGCTTATCATTTTACAATCACGAGTGCCTAACAAAAACTAACATTGAAACTTTACTTTAAGTCCTTGGACAAAATTCAATTTCTCATCCTAGAAACTAGAACTGAAAATGCCATATTGTGAATCGCTACTTTTTGGCTCCAATACAGGGTGATTCACGAGCCACTGTACATACTTATGGTGTACATAGGACATACCTCTGCCATTAAATAATGGATATTCATATTGGTCAATTCGACGTAATTACTAAGATACAGGGTCATTTTTCATTTTTGGCCAAAATTGATTCACTCTGTATCTTTTCAGTAGTTTGATCAAATTTCCTCAAATGGAGTACAAAGAGTCGCCAAATTCCAGGCCCGGACCTCATGTATTTCCTCAAAGGTTAACGAGCCTTGTTTATTTGGATTTTCTGCAGAATATTTTGCCTGGTTCGATGGAGAACATTAATTTGAGAGGAATACATTTCCAGCATGATGGCGCTCCGCCTCATTTTGGCGTTGACGTCAGAGAACACCTTGATTACCGATTTCCAAATCGTTGGATTGGACGAGGAGGGCCACTCCCTTGGCCAGCTAGGTCCCCAGATTTTAACCCTCTAGATTATTTTTTGTGAGGACATTTGAAACAAAAGGTCTACAGCGATCCTATTGGAAACAGAGAGCAGTTATTGAACCGAATTGAAAATTATTGTGAAGAAATCAAACAAAATCCTCAAATGATTCGAAATTCAATCGGAAATTTGTTAACTCGAGCACAAAAGTGCAGGGATGCTGGTGGAATGCATTTTGAAAATATAATTTAATTTTTTTATAAATTTTCAAGAGATAAAATAAATAAATGGAATGTTTCTCGAAAAGCAATATTTTATTTGAAACATACTTCAAATGTGCCAAACGTGTTATTAACATTTTTCTGTTCATTAATCCATGTAGTTTCAGGAATAATGAGCAGATATTGAAAATTCCAATGTACAGGGTGTCCTATCTGTAAGAGACGACAAATTCAAATTTTCCAAGTCCGGGCCTGGAATTCGGCGACCCTTTCTACTCCAGAAAGTTGACATTAATTAGTAGACCAAGTGTATAAAATTTGAGGAAAGATCAAACGACTGAAAAAATACAGAGTGAATCTATTTTGGCCAAAAATAAAAAATGACCCTGTAATTACGTCGAATTGACCAATATAAATATTCATTCTACAATGGCAGAGGTATGTATGTACACCATAAGTATGTACAGTGGCTCGTGAATCACCCTGTATATCAACGAACTATCGACTAGGTATCAATTTCTTCAAGTCATGGACCATTCCGTCATAGCCGATTGGTATGGCGGCCAAAATATTTTCATCACCGGCGCTACTGGATTTATGGGAAAAGTCCTCATAGAAAAACTGTTGAGGTCCTGTACGAATGTAGCCAACATCTATATACTAGTAAGACCGAAAAAGGGGAAGGGAGCCAAACAAAGAAAAGCCGAATTCATAAATTGTCCTGTAAGTAACCTGAATTCAAAGTAAAAAGGTACATGTACCTTATAAGGCCATATGTACTCGATACGTCTATTTGTACCTAATAAGGCCATACCTTATCACATTTCCCATTCTTTCAGGCCTTCGAATCGCTCAAAAACTCTCCCAACAGTACAGAAATTTTCGAAAAATTGAAATGCCTGAGCGGAGATGTATGTCAGGAAAACTGCGGCTTATCGCCAGAAGACCAGGAGCTCTTGAAAACCAACGTAACTGTGGTCTTCCACATGGCTGCCAACGTACGTTTCGATCAACCCATCAAGAACACCATCACCGCCAACACTGGTGGCACCCTCAACGTTCTAGAATTGGCCTGCAACTTCCAGAAACTCAAGGTGCGTGAGATATATCCCATGAAACTCTAGAGAATTCCATGAAACTTATCGGAGTGCCTTGGAACTCTGTTGAGTTCCATCAAACCCTCTGGAGTTCCATGAAACCCTGTAGAGTAGCATGAAACTCTGTGGGGTTCCTTGAAACTTTGCAGAGTTTCATGAAGTTTATTGGAGTCTCATATTGATTTATGAAGAGAACAATGAACTTTTCAGAGTGCAGTATAAGTCTGTAGAATTCCATTAAACGATCTGAACTTGATTTAATTACCTCAACTCTACTCAACTCAAAGTGCGTGAGATATGTCCCATGAAACTCTAGAGAATCCCATGCAACTTATTGGAGTGCCTAGAAACCCTGTGGAGTTCCATGAGACCTTGTAGAGTTCCATGACACTCTGTGGTATTCCATGAAACTTTGTAGAGTCAGTGTAAGTCTGTGGAATTCCATGAAAAGATCTTTACTTGATTTAATTACCTGGATTCATCTGAAGTAGGTACATTTCACATAGATTTATTAGAAAGATCGAAAGACGGAAGCTGTATTTGAGCATCTAAACGTATATTGAGAAAAAAATGTTGAAGAGCTCGCAGGTCCAGTAGTTTCTTTGAAAATATTCAAAATGATTTACAAAAATATAAAATTATCTTGATTTTCTTAAATTCATGAATTTTTCTGTCTTTCCATGTACTTTCATGGCTCTCTTTGGAACCCTACGTACTGAATATACTATAATAATTAGTGGAACTATAAGCTATAACAGACATCTGGAATACTATAGAGTTAGTTCACTGGAATGCTTTGGAATCATCTTGATTCGTTTGGAATACTGTTCCAAATCATGCATCTGGACTATACTAGTAATATTGATGCTTTGAACCATTTCTTCCTCTAAATGAACTGGAATTAGTGGCGTTATCTGTCATCATAAAAATCTGGAATACTGTGGCATTAGTGAAACTTTAGGCTATTGTAGGAATCTGGAAAGTTATAGAGCTTACTGGAATGGTTTGGAATCGTCTGGATTCCTTTGGAATACGGTTTCAAATCATAGATTTTGATGCTTCATACATATTCTTCCTCTGAATGAACTGGAATGTAAATAAAAGAATCATCAGCTATTGTAGTCATCTGGGGTAGGAATATAACCCTGGGTCTCTTTGCAACCTTTTATAATCATCCCAGAATATACTATAATTAACTATCTAAGGTATCTGGAATACTATAAATTTTCCTGGAATGTTGTGGAATACTGTTCCAAATCATACATATCAACATATTCACCGACATCTGGACTCTACTGGCTAATTCAGGTATCTGGAATACTACAGAGTTCACTGGAATGCTTTGGAATCACCTGGATTTCTTCGGAACGGTTACAAATCATACATCTACCTACATCTACCTACATCTACCTACATCTGGAGTCTACAAGCAATTTTGATGCTTATTCATATCGTTTCTTCTTCTAAATGGACTGTAATTATGAAATTTTCAGCTATTTCAAACATCTGGAGTACTGAGGAGTTCTATGGAAAACGCTTCGGAAATAGTCTTTCTAGGAATGTTTCTGGTCCACTTTGGAGCTCTACCTCTGAATATACTAGATTTAGTGGAACAATTGACTATCCCCAGATATCTGAAATACTATATAGTCCACTAGAATGCTTTGGAATCATCTGGATCCCTTTGAAATACTGTTCCAAATCATGTTTCTACTGAAAATGTCATTGCTTCGCTGGTGTTTTTGCACGTTTCCACCTAGTACTGTCACTGCAACATTGCCAAGCTGGAAGAAAGGCTATAATAGGAGTCTGCAGGACCTCTCGAATACTGTAGAGTTCACTGGAATGCTTTGGAATCATCTGGATTTCTTTAGAATACCGTTCCAAATCATGTACCCACTAGAAATATCATTGCTTCGCAGGTTTTTTTGCACGTTTCCACCTCGTACTGCCACTGCAACGTTGCCAAGCTGGAAGAGGAGGTATAACAGGAGTCCCCAGGACCTTCGGAAAACTATAGAGATCATTGAGATGCTTTGAAATTGTCTGGCTTCCTTTAAAATCTTGTTTCAAGTGAAAATTAGTGAAAATGTCATTGCTTCGCAGGTGTTTTTGCACGTTTCCACCTCGTACTGCCACTGCAACGTTGTCAAGCTGGAAGAGGAGCTATAACAGGAGTCCCCAGGACCTTTGGAATACAATAGAGATCATTGAGATGCTTTGGAATTGTCTGGCTTCCTTCAAAATCTTGTTTCTATTGGAAATGTCATTGCTTCGCAGGTGTTTTTGCACGTTTCCACCTCGTACTGCCACTGCAACGTTGCCAAGCTGGAGGAGAGGTTGTACCGCAGCCCGCAGGACCCGAGAAGGATGCTGCAGCTCGCAGAATGGATGGACGACGAGATGCTGCAGGCGTTGACCCCGGTGCTGCTCAAGAACTCTTCACCCAACACCTACGCCTACACCAAGTGCCTTACGGAGCAGCTGGTATCGGAGTACAGAGAAAAGTTGCCCATTGTTATTGCGAGGCCCTCTATAAGTGAGTGAGAGGATTGAGTGAATTTTTTGGTCAGCATTTCTTATTTTCAGCCGACATTTTAACTGATCTATACAGGGTGTCTCACGGCCGATGGTACCTTGAACGTATACTAAAAACGGGACATAGGATTATTTTGAAAATTTGGTAAGGTACTTCAATAATCTAACGATTGAAAATATTTTCAGCGACGCAGCATTACCGCATCTTCGATATATAAAATTGCACAACCTGTATTTCATTGCATTTTTATATTTATAGATCACACTCTGAAACTGTTTTCCTGATACTTTCTTGGATACTTGGAATATTGGCCGTAGCATACCAGGGGTTAGTTCTGCATTTTACAGGCTCGTTGAAAACTAGTGATTTTACCGCTAGATATTCGAATGGTAAAAAGTACTTTTTCTATTAAAACACTCTATATATTATCGAATCATCTGAAAGATAATCGAAATCTCTTTCGAATGATATATTATGTTTTTATACCTAAATAGTAAGGTTAGGAACTAGGTTTCATATCATTCGAAAAGGATTTCGGGATTGTCTTTCAGATTATCTAATGATACACAGGGTGTTTCTTCAAAAACATGACTCTTCATACCATTTTAGCATCACGCGGTAAAATCACTGATTTTTAGCGACCCTGTATAATGCTGAACAAATACCCATAATAAACATTAAACTAGAGCTATGTTTTGAACGAAAAACATGGAAAATATATAACTCGAAATCCTTCAATGAAATTTATAGAGAAGTTTAGGAAAAAACGATTCAGAATGTGATTACAAATCTCAAAATGCAATAATATACAGGATGTCTCCTTTGAAATATCGAAATGATGCTACTTTTTGGTATAAGCGACAACGCTGCATCATTGAATATATTTTCAATCGTTAGATAGGGCAGATACGTTTACCTGATATAATCACATTCTCGAATATGGTATAGTAGAGTCCCGAGACGTATGAGGTAGTAGAGAATTAATTGGATTAAACTTAAATCATATCATAATTAGAATGGAGACTACTTTTTCTAAACAATCTAACCTCATTGTTGTCCTAAACGAACCTTCTTCATAGAGAGTATATTTTTTGTAAACAATCTAACCTTACTCGGACTCAATAAACCTTCTTCCTATAAAGTATATATTTTTCAAAACCGATCCCTCTCTTATCTCAGAAAGGAGAGTACTTTTTCTAAACAATCTAACCTCACTTGGCCTAAATGAACCTTTTTCATAGAAAGTATATTTTTTGGAAGGGACTACTATTTCTAAACAATCTAACCTTACTCGGACTCAATATGAACCTTCTTCCTATAAAATATATATTTTTTGAAACCGAAGATGAAGCTACTTATCTTAGAAAGAATAGTGGATTGTTGTATTAGGATCAAAAGTGACACTTTGTTTGACAAGCAAATTTTGCATAGCGAAGCCGAGTGAAAGCAAAATTTGCGAGTCGAACAAAGTCACTTTTGATCCGAATGAAACATGCTATTTTTTCTGCAACAAATATTGACATATAATCCATGTGGTGAGAATATTCTACGTGCATTAACAGCAGGTTAGGTTTTCTAGGATGTTCGAATTGTACTTTCAATATAAATACAACCAAAGAGTGACATATTTGTGTATGGACCAGGTGCTCTAATGGCAAATACCGCGCCAGTGCCAGCTATAGGAAAAAGACGTTGAAAAATGTTAGGTTAGTGAGCATATCAACAATGATAATAGTGATTATTTATTCCTCTCCATACTACACTGTGTTTGACTTGATAATCAAATGAAGCTAAACAATATCGTTGTTTGAGACAAAAAAAACTATTGCTTGCCGTGATTATTCAAAAATAAGTTATCCATCCCGAGAATAACGAATGAAATACAGATCAAGCAAGTATTTGAATCTTGAAGGCTTCCCTGATCAAAACAAATATACTTAAGTGAGATGTTTATAATTCCAATACTAAACTATAATAAGGTGTATTTATATCTCCAGCATGGGTATGAAATGCCAAATCTGCTGAAATCGGAAACAAATCAGGTATGCGTCTCAACCCAAATAACCAACCGTCACAATGTTGTTTATTCTTGATGACGTCCAGTAGATCTTTTTTAGTTCCTAGGAGCTAAAGTTCAACTTTAGCTCCTAGGAACTAAAATTCAACTTTAGCTCCTAGGAACTAAATATGTTGCCTAGCAACATACCTATTTTTGTGTCAGTAATAGAAACGTCAATTTAAGAGCTAATTTTGGTATCAAAATGGACGACTTTTGTGACGGTTGCAGAAAAAACTACTTTTTCTAAATAATCTAACCTCACTTGGCCTGAATGAACCTTCTTCATAGAAAGTATATTTTCCGAAAGGACACTACTATTTCTGCCAGGACTCTACTCGTACCCAGTATTTCAGGGCAGGTAATAAACGCGACTCTACCCGTATTTTCCGGTTAGATCACATGTGATTATTGATGTAACCAAAATTTCAGAAAGTCCCGTTCTCCTTATATGTCTAAGAGGCTTCGCTGAGTCGGCGATCTTAGGACTGCTGGCTGGAGACTACCCTGCACTGATGAGAGTCAAAGAGCTCGAAACCGGTCTGTGGGTGTCAAGCGTGGCCTGGCTAAATCACTTGTATTTATTCAACACTTCATTCCACTTTGTGCATTGTGACTATTTCGTAGTTGACAACTTTTTCGTTTTGATTTTCAGTTATTGCCGCTTACAAGGAACCCATACCAGGGTGGATTGACAACATCAATGGACCCACAGGCATCCTGATAGGGGCCGGTAAAGGCGTTATAAGGACCATGCATTGCAATGAGTCTATGAGTGCTGACGTTGTGCCAGTGGATATGGTCATCAACAGCGTGTTGATAGTAGCCTGGAAAGTAGGCTGTGAACCCAGAAAGTCTGAGGTTGAGGTCTACAATGTCACCGCCAATAGGGTGAGTAAAGGACAGAATAATTGCGAAATGCGCGAAGTCGACTTCAATTCTCTTCACGCACTTCGCTGATATGCGTGAAGTGCAATCGGTACTTTTTTTGTATACTAATGAGATCACAATATCAAAATTACGATCGCTATGAGATCTTGAATTCCACTTCACGCATTAAACATTGTGCGTGAAGCAAAATATCAACTACATCCTATATTCTTAAACAATGAGAACGACACATCAGCACTGGAACTTCTTTCATGAACATAAATTCCACTTCACGCACTGAAAACTGCGGGAAGTGAGTTTCACACTTTTTTATATACTTACATGCCTACTGATGCGATGAACATATCAAGACTTGAATTCTTTCGCTTCACGCGTTGATAAAGACTGTGTGAAGTGAAATTTCCTTATTTTCTATGTATTTCAAAACTATGAGATCAAACACTCCACCTCCGCCTTGGTGTCAGAATGCATAGATAGCCTACAAAGGCTGTCAGCAACGAACAAGGTATGTCTTTTGTGGGTCCCTGGACACTCAGGGGTACCAGGTAACGAAATGGCCGATGGTCTGGCCAGGAAGGGGGCGAAGGGTTCAGTGATTGGCCCAGAGCCAATCTTAGGGGTCACTCGATCCTGGAGCAACTTCAAGATGAAGGAAATCCTGACGGAAAAGGTTCAGGACAGCTGGAGAAAGGCTCCTCGAATGAGGCAGTCCAAACTCCATATAGGAAACCCGTCACGAAGACAGGCCAATGCCCTCTTGGCTTTGAACAGGAAGGAGCTGAAACTGGTGGTGGGCCTGCTGACAGGGCACTGCCACCTGAACAAACATCTCAGCATGATCGGGATTGTGGAGGATCCTGAATGCAGATGGTGCCTAGAGGATGAAGAGACTTCTACTCACATCCTCACTGAATGCCCGGCAATAGTGGCAGCAAGGGATATCCATTTTGGGAGCAGTATCCTGGACCCAGAGGATGTTAAGAAGATTTGGCCTAGGAAGTTGGTCTCTTTTGCTCGCGAGATCGGCCTTCTCCATGGCTGACTTTGCGATCCCAGGAATGTGGGTGCACAATGGGCCCGAAAAGGGAGGCCTAAGTGCGTCAGGTCCCGGACCGCCCACACACACACATACATACATACATACATACATACATACAAACACTCCAAAAGTGGGATTTATTTGACAGAATTTGATTTCACTTCACGCACTGGAAACTGCGTGAAATGATTTTTTCACTCTATGTATATCCACTCGCATATCAATAAGCTGGATTTGAGAAACTTCAATTCCACTTCTCGCTTTGACAGAGTGCGTGAAGTTACATTATTTCTTTCATTCTGAAACTATGAGATAAATGCAGTAATTTCTAAATTCGAAATTTGAATTCCACTCCATGAAGTGATTTTGATTACATACTCACCAATATGATAAAATTACATGTCAAAACTGGTATTCTTTCAAGAAGCTTGAACTGATGTTTTCAAACTTTGTAATAAACGTGATAATATTAAAACTTTTTTTTATCAAATTCCAAATTTCACACGTTTGAATTTGACTTCACGCATCGTTTTCAATTCTCCAATATCACGCAATGCAGTTCATGGAAAGAATTTCACACTTTCTTGTTGATTTTAAACGATGAAATCAACATTATTTTTGGAATAAAAAGAAAATGCATTCAAGATACTGCGATCGTTGTAAAATTATATTTTTCATAACTCGTTCTGAAGGCCTAGATAAAGTTTCGGCTGCTTCAATACATAAAAAACTATTTTGTTATTTCATTTCACATTGATTTTTTCTAGGACGATCCGATCAGTTGGGGCCGAGCCATAGAACTGGGCAGAAAATACTTTGCCGATTACCCGTTCAGCGTGTGCTTGTGGTATCCTGGAGGCAGTGCGAAATCCAGCTACTTTGTGCACGTAATCGCTGCATTCTTTCTGCACATCATTCCCGCTTACCTGGTAGACGCCTTGATGACGTTAACAGGAAATAAACCATTGTAAGTGCAGAATCGGGGATAATACTAACGAAAACTGAAGTGCTGGTATGGAGGCAGTGAAGTATCATTTTACTGCCTAGGTAGTAAAGTAGTACTTTTACTATCTAGGCTATGAAGTGGCACTTTACTCGCTAGGCAGTGAAGTTGCACTTTTACTGTCTAGAGAGTAAAGTTATACTTTACCTGCCTGGGCTGTTAATTTTGGCCTATGTCAGTAAAAATGTTTCACCTTATTTTCATTCAGCTTGGTGAAGCTCCAAAAACGGATCGAAAACGGACTCAGTGTGCTTCAGTATTATACCACCAGGGAGTGGTATTTCCACAACGAGAAATTCGAAAAACTGTACGAATCGCTGGGCAGTACGGACAAGGAGTTGTTTTACACTAACAGGGAGGCACTGAAGTACGACAAGTTCATGCTGGATTATATACTGGGCGCTAGAAAATACTGTGTCCACGAAAACGAGGATACTCTGCCGACTGCCAGGAAATTGAATAGAAGGTATGGGTATTGCATTTTGGTAGTGTGAGCTATGAAAATCATTGAAAAGAGATATTCTCAGATATATTTATGAACATATAAAAAATTTATATATATATAGAAATACATTGAGAATTCGCATTCTCCATATGATGATAATTTTAATTCATTCTCGGTTTATTCAACAGAAAACAACTACTTTCCTGGCTATATGCCATGATGAATATTGAATTACATCTATTGAACACACAGGACAAGAATTCGAAAACAAAATCTTCTGGAGAAGAGAATTTGCATTCTCCTTCATATAAAGATATGCATATAATATTATTCTGAATATTCAACAGAAAACAACTACTTTCCTGGCTATTGGCCACGTCGAACATTGAATTATATCTGTTGAATATAATTCAATGTTCGACGGCGTGTATTAAATCTGCAAAAAAATATGTTTTTGAGTTTGTTGGAATTTGAACATTCTCAGATATATTTATGAACACAAAAAATGGATATATATATATATATATATAAAGATGATGAATGTCGATTTATCATACATCCAAAAAAAAAAGTACCTGATATACTTCTTGAATTGTTTTGTGTCGTACTTGATTTTTTTCTCGTATTTTGTTCAATTTTTAGGATGAAATTCTTCGTTAATTAAAAGAATTATAAAAAATCAGATATCATGGGAATATTCCTCAAACTGTTTCATATTAATGTGCAATAAATAAGAAATGAAGTCACGTTTAAATATGATAAAAATATTATTCAGTTGATATAAGAGGTAGAATGAAGTAACTACAATTTTTTTAAAACCACAACCATTAAAAAATATTGTGGAAAATACAATATTGATGTCGAAAGAAATACCGTTTATAAGATTTTGATTATTTTTCTAAACCATCAGCAGTGTTGCCAAGGTGTTTTTCCTTGAACCCTTCATAATTGTTTTCCAATTTCTTTTGCTGTATGTGAAAATACTGAAGAAATATTCGTTTGTTTCAGATTATTCTACTTAGATGTGCTGATGAATATAGTGCTAATAGGTTTATTTTTGTGGGCATTGTATAGTTTTGTGACGACCTTCTTTGTATAAGTAATTTAAGGATACATGTTATTATATTTGAATGTTCATTAAAAATGTTGAAAATATATATTTATTGTAGAATTTAAATTCTGAAATACGCAGACAGATATACAGAGAGAACTAGATTCTATCGGAAACTAAAAAATATGATAGAGTTCTAATTTGAAATATCTGGGTTATAATAAGTACCTACATTATAATATAGTTTTCAGACATTATGGAATGTATATATATTTTTCGTTTTTACCATGACTGTCAAGCCAATGACAAAAATCTTTATTGTGTATTTTATTGTGATTTCATCTATATGAATTGTTATAATGTCTATATAGGTACTGTCCAATTATATTTACTTGAAGTTTATGTGGGTTTTCATGTTTTCCTTTTCATATATTCCATATTGAGTTTTCTGCTTATCCTCACCCAGTATACAAATCACAGCAGACCCTCATAATAACATTTTACAACCGTTTCTATTTTAGTGAGAAAATTATTTTTCTACAAACGTCAAAAAATGACAAGGTTCGCGCATTGATAATAAATTGCGAAGTGACACTTTTTTTCAGTTTCCTACGTTACTATGATACCTTACACAAAACAATGCGCGAAGTAAAACAGTGCGCGAAGTACCTACTTCGCGCATTGTTATTCAAAATAAATGGGATATTCATATTTCAACTTTATGGTACTCAGTCGAGCAAACATCCACTAAATCATTTATTTCTGAATGTTCAACAATAACCTTGTTTTATCTCTTGGAGCGCACGAAAGGAAATATTTATTATGTTCGTGGAACATCGTGCGTACCTAGGGAGGATAGGGGGAGACCTTTTAAACTAGTTCAACACTATTTTTTATATCAAGCTAAGCATATTTTCACTTTAGAACTATATTCTTTTTGACGTTTGTAGAAAAAATGTTGTTTGCAACTCGAGCGCGAAATACTTTGGTCATCTCGACTATTTTTCCAACTCGGCTACGCCTCTATAAAAAAATCAGATCTCGATCACCAAAGTAGCATTTCGCGCTCTAGATACAAAAATAACTATATGTCAGATTATACTTTACAAAGAACCATTTAAATTTCCCGGGCATGCAATATACAGTGTGGAAATCTATGGTGAAATAATATTATTCACTATAATATTTCTACGGCGCTGTAACAAATAACAGCGGCATTTCTGATTTCTTCGTCTTGTAGCCATCTGATTTCCTCTCAAGTAATGCTCATTTATTAGGCAGAGCTGTCATTGTTTGAAATTTGACATTTCCTGGGCGATGAGATTTCACACGGAAATAAAATTGACGACAAACAAAGTACCTCATTGAAGTATCGAACACAGTACAACAAGAGCTCTCTTCATTTAGAATATTCTCAACAATGCAGTGTTGCCGCTTCTATCAAAAAGTAGCAACAACTTTATTATTTCAAGTAGGATACCCTCCTTCCCTGTATTTCATTGCATTTTGAGATTCTCCCTATATCAAGTGCGTAACTTTTTTTGGAACTGAGTGTATTTCAATCATCATTCACTCAAACAAGGATCAGCTCAAACTCTGAGAATTACTAGAATAATTATCATACCTATACCACCGAACAGAAATACATTTTAAATATAATGTTATATAACATTATGGTTTATTTTTTAATGTTCCCTGTTATAAACATATACGTCAATTGTCTCTTGGGAAAAATAAATGATGATGAATTATAAAATAGTTATACGGGTGAGCTGACTTGATCTCCTTAATGAATCAACATAAAAGGATGACACTTCATTGAGGCACACGCAACAGAACGGGCCGAGTTTTTTAACCTACTTAGGCCATGCTATCTCCGAGCTCTAACTGTACTTTAGATTTAAAATTCTGCACAAACATCATTCTCATTCGTTTCAGTAACACCGACCAAAAAGTTGAGTTATGTAGTTTCTCTCATATTATTCATAGTCATCAGATGCCCATAAAAAAGTTCTAGCACTCTAGTTTTGAATATAACAGTGACCGTGTCGTTCGTGTCAGTACTTAATTTAGTTTTCATTCGACGATAAGGGACAATAAAATCATCAAAAATGAGACTGATTACCAGAACTAGTTTAATTGTAGTGATAGTAGTGGCCCTATTGATTTCTTGTGAAGCAAAGAAAAAAAAGAAAAATAGCAAACAAATGATATTACGCCAAAAGGAAACAAATCCAGTGGATTTCATTAGGTGAGCTCAATCGATCTTTCACATAATAATCGGCCTGATCAATACTATACGAAAGCTCTGGAGTGCCAATGGAAAAAAATAAAATTTCGACTTAGAAAGTCGAAATTTCGTCTTACCAACTCGAAATTTCGTCTTACCAACTGGAAATTTCGTCTTACTAAGTCGAAATTTCGTATTAGTAAGTCGAAATTTTGACTTAAAATCTCGAAATTTCGATATAGTTAACTTGAAATTTCGACATGATTGTTATCTCGAAATTTCGAGTTTTCATGAAAAGTCATATGTAACCGGCTTCATTGATGGTTCTTGGCCATTACAAAAGACACCTAGATCTAGGTATCCACGACGGATGCCAGTTATGGTTCACTGTTTTCTCAGTTTTTCAACTCAGATCTCTATTATACAGGGTGTCCCGAAATTAGCCTGCCAAACTTCACCAGCAGCTCCTTTGACCAAAAATAGGAAGAAAAGTTCCAATGAACATGAGTCGAGAAATTTCTCCTAAGGGAGCTATGGCCCCCTGAAAGGGGGCTCCTGAAGATGATATTTCTTGAATATTTTCGGAACGCCACGTGATAAAATGATGAAATTTGGTACAATAACTAAACTTTCCATGCCCAATGCGGTGAACATGAAATCATTTAAGAGTTTCATTCAGGAGTGTGAAATAAAAGGTGGGACTACATTAAATATTGCTCAAATCAAACTTTTTCTTATGCATATTTTTTGACAATGTAGTCTCGGATTATAAAAATCCACCCCATTTCACAAAAATAAGTGCTCTTGTTCCGCATTGATTAGATGTATCATTTTCGATTGAAATCGATTTAAAAATATTGATGCATTCACATCTTATGCATAACGTTGCCAATTTTCAAATCATAGTGGCAACTACTTCAATTTTTGTGCATTTTTTTCCATTTCCACTATGCTTCATTGCAATGGTATGCATAATATCTGAGATGTAACAATATTCTTAAATTGCTATAACTCGATAACAATACATCATCTGATCGTCACGGAACAAGAGTACCTTTTTTCTGTAAAGAGGTGTGAAATTTCATAATCCGAGATTAAATTGTCGAAAAATATGCAAAAAAAAAAATTTTGGAGCAATATTTAATATAGTCCCACCCTGTATTATACACTCCTGATTGAAATTTCGAAATGATTTTATTTACACCGCATTGTGGGCATAGAAATTTCAGTTCTTGTACCAAGGGGAATTTTTTTATTACATGGAGTTTCGGAAATACTCAAGAAATATCATCTTCGAGGGCCCCCTTTCGGGGGGCCATAGCTCTCTTAGGAGGCATTTCTCGTCCCATGTTCATTGACAGTTTTCTTTCAATTTTTGGTAGTAAAAGCCGCTGGTGAAGTTTGGCAGGCTAATTTCGGGACACTCTGTATATGAGTGTAAAGATTTTGAAAATTAGGACATATTTTCAACTCGCTCTAAATAATGAAGAGATACTATAAGTACACAGAATACGCCATTCGGTGGCTGTGAGTTTAGACGAAATTTCCAAATTTGTTTTTCCTATCTTTTGAGGGAGACAATAAAAGATAGGTAGGTAATCGTAATCTATAACGGTCCAAATTTAGTAAAAATTGGCGACTTTAATAGCTAAGATATAGAAGGGGGGCCGTTTGAATAAGTGAGACACGCTATAAATAACTTATCATTCCAATTTCGGAAATACACACTGTATAAGCTCATTAATGATTCTTTCAATTTAATTTCGATTTGAATACTGTACTTAGTATTTACGTATTTGTTTATAAAGAATTCAAACAGCCATTTATTTTTCTTATCTTTTGAGGGAGACAAAAGATATTAGGTGATATTATTAGAAGTCTCTTATTATTAGAGGTATCAATATAAATTCTTGGTAGAGAGTTGTTCATCACGAACTCCACATTGATGACAAAAGAAGGTAAAATTTTAATAAAATGCTCAATTTGAATTTACGAATGGTCTGTTGACACTATATCACCAAAAAAATTTATTTCATAATTCGATAGAACTCTACGTTTTATAAAAAATTATTGAAATCCCCGATTTTTCGGACCTCTGAAAACGAGGCGATGATGTGACGTCAAAACTCTAATACTGGAACAAGACTATTCCAGACAGAGATGAATGATACATGATTTCTGACAGAGTGAATAAGCGCGAGATCACAGTTGAAAGAATTAATATATCAGTTGCCTCAGTCTCCGTCGGGCGTTTGGTATTTTCTTTTAACTATAACGAGATGAGGTTTCTACGTCATAAGAGGGTCCGTTTTCAGAAGGTACTATTATTTATGTCCAAAAATAAAACATTTAACTTAATTTTTCGATCGAATTATGTCGTCAATCATTATTTATGTATAAAAGGATCATTATAAACATGGTTTGAGTTAAAAGTTCTACTAAGGTGTACACGCCCATTTGTAGTTTAAAATCATATGTGTGAATCTCTTGAACCAATAATAAGTTTTCAAAAAACGAGATCTATATGCCCACAGAAATCAACATCAGTATCTCTCAATTCTTTTCTAAATTGATTTTTTTGAAATCCTTCTGGTCAAAAAAACCTTTGCGATCACACTGCTCTAGAGGGATATAAGATAATTAAAAATTTGTTTTCTGCTCGAAGTTCAAATTTGAGCAGGAAAGCATCAATATGACACAGATTTTCTTTGACAGATATTTCCATAGAAAAAAATGAGATTTTAGTCCAAAACTTGCACGGGAAATGTTCCTCAGAAATCTCTGCTATAATTCCATCTCTAGCAATACCAGTCAGACGAACTCGATAGACCCAATCAGCACATCCTTTCGTCGTTAACCTTGAAAAATGGCGAAACTTTGGAATTCTTTGCCAATGGAAGTATTCCCAAGAACTAATAACCTCCAAAAGTTCAAAAAAATGTCAACCCCTACATCCTCTCCCTAGTCCCTACCCTTCCTAGACACATAGATTATAGGAATTTTTTTTCATGAGCTCCATGAGATGAAAAAAATGCCTATAAGCCTTCTATAAGAAATCAAATATATATATGTGTATATGTGTTCCTTGAGGTGTCCCTTGAATAATATGTATAAATGATTTATTTAGACATATCAATTAAAGGTATAATTATTTTATAGATTGGCAGTAATGAGACTGATTTATGGAATTGCAACAAGGGTCGGTCTTGGAGAGCAGATTTCTGATGCCCTAAATGGTGTTTTTGTGCCCCCTGGTGTAGATGCTGAGTATGACTATGATGGAGGAGTTGGGCAAGATAATGATGATGATTATGATTTTGATCTCTAGAGGAGGATGTCCCAAAGAAAGTTTTTATGTACCTGTATACCTACTGTATTTATGTTTAATGGAGTGTTTAATTTATTATTTTATTTATTAAAAGTACCTATGTATTGAAAAATGTATTTATTTCACATGAAAAATTGATTAATGAAAATGTTCAAAAATCTAGGTTATAGAACAAAACTACACCAGTTTTTCTTGAGCTACAGATTCTAGAGAATGTAAATAGAATGATCTTGATGCCAGGTCTTCAGAATCAGCCCATATTACACAATTTTTTCTCCATATTTAGCAGACAATGTTACACAGAATCAGAATGAGATAGCAGTAAAGTGAACCTATCTAAACATTTATTTCTTCTCAATTAATAAAAAGAAAGAAGTATTGTTTTCATAGATACCTACCAACAAGAATTATCAACACTAGGAACTAGTCTAAGTAAGGAATTTTATGTGATTTTTGAGTTCATATGTCCATTACTTTGGCTCATTTGGTTATTGACATTTGGATCCATACTTCCATTCACTGCAGGAGTATTGAGTAGCCTATTACGCCGCCTTGTATAGTGCTGCCAGAGCAAAATTTGCTGATCATCTATGAATTTTGAACATTGGGCATTCACTAGTTCTCTTCGAAAATGCTCATACTGAAGGAGGTCCAAGAAATACAAACACATGGGGTACTTCAGGAACTTCGCATACTCGGCTTCTTTCCAGTACAGTAAGTACTTTAAATAGTTTATGAAGGTGCTGTCCTTAAAGTAGCCTCTTTGAGCTAGAACTATAGTAAAATTCATCATATGAACAAATTAATGTTTTCAGTAGAGCTCACAGTTCAAGTAATTTGGGTTTCCCAGACACTGCACAAACTCAAGTTCGACTTGGAAGCGGTATTTTTGTTGTTCTTCAGTTTCCGGTACCCCTGCAACATAATTCCAACCTTTCTTGAAATTTATAATGGATATTCTTGATGTTTTTATTTACCTTTTCCTGCCAATGCAGCCATTTTTAATTGAGATTGTAAATGTCAAAAGTCAATGTCAACTTCTCACTGATCAAGCATGATCAAGTCGACACTTCACTGATCATAGTTCCATGGCACTCATGTCATCTGTCGATGGAATCCTAGATCATGTAAAAGTATATGCCAAAATTAAGATCACTTGTTTTCCAACAGTGGCAACAGTCTCCCTGCAGTGGGCTCGGTCACTTGGTCACAGTTGAAATGTTCATAAGTTGACGTCACATTAGATTGCTAAAGATCCAGTCAGTAGTCCCACTTGTCGGCACCTTTGATGTTTGTTACCCCATTTTGTTCAAGGCTATTCAACTCTATAAGGTTGCCTCATATTGACCTGGCCTGACGTCACTGTTTCCCCATCGTCTTTTGTCGAACGGCAAAATGAAAATGGCGGAGGTGAAAACCAAAACAAACAAATTTAGCATTGTGCAATCAAGTGAATATTGATAAATTTTGAAGTTTTCCAATATGTTTTTGTGTCCAAGAGATTGTTCACTGTTTTCCCAGAACATGCAGCAAGTACAAAAGACTGAAGACAGAAATCTAGAAAGATATGTTCCTCAGTGCTCCTGTTGTACAGACACATTACAGAAACTCAGTCAAATTCTTATTGCAATATCACTCCATTAGGACTGATTACTGTTGGCATTAATAAGGATATGGAGGTTGAACTACTGATAAAGCATTTTTTAATAAAGAAAATGTTATTGGGAAGTCTGAACCTAATGATGAAATCATGGTGGATAAGGGCATGCTGACAAGGGATGTGAAGAAATATCTTGAAATTGATTAGGCCATCATTTCTGAGAAACAAGAAACAATTAACTAAAGAGGATTTCCTTCTGGATAAATTGAATGATTCTAACTCACTGGTTTTATTTCAGTATCAATTTGGAACATATTATTGTTTGAAAATGCAATAATAAGAAAATGAATTAATAAAGAAGTCATCACAATTCATTCCATTTTATTAATGCAATAATATCTTTGAGATATCTTCCTCATAACATTAACACAAAATGTATCACAAAAAAACTGGAATCTTTATGTAAGTTTTGGAGGAAGAAGAATCATACAAGAAAATTAGTTTCTTTCAAGTTCATTAGGGACATTTTAGGGTCATTATTCCCAACTGAATTTATCCATAATAAGTGTGTCTCTCTTCCAACTTCACATTTTTTATACCATCTCCTATCAAGAAATGGCATTGTTCCACAAAATGTTCTGAACCTTTACCTAAAATTTTGAGAAAATAATTCAAGCTGAATGTAATACACATTATTGAACAAACCTCTATGTAAGGACCTCAGTAAGGACACTTATTTCAATTATTTCCATGGTCTTCCTTCCTGAAAAATAATTTCATATTGAGAAAATCCTAACCATGGAAAATATTGAGACACAAATTTGTTTGCATGATTTGAAATTCAATATCATTTTCAATGAACATTTTGAAAGAGCTTTGGATTCATATTCAACTCCATGCTGAACAAATTTATTTGAAAAATCCTTTGGAAAGAAGAAGTTGATTGCCTTTTTTCCCAAGACTCCTTGCTACATGTAAAAATGAAGTAGCAAGTATAAGTAAAATTTAATAAACTCACCAGTGTTCCTGAGTACCATGCAATAGCTAGTTGTTTACATTGAGTTCATTGGCTTCCAAACAAAAAACAAAATAGACTGATATACCCTGTAAAATTAACTTCAATTATATAAAGGAAGAATGATTTTAGGGGGTCACTTTCCTTCTTTTAATAAGCAGGTAGCAGAACTATTGAAATGGTTTGGCTGTATAATAGATCATTGATTGATCTACTCTCTTTTTTCAATTTTCACCACTTCTGTTTGTTATATATGCAACTTCACATATTCCAATTTCCAAGTCTTCATTCCTGAAATTTCATGTATTTTTTACCTGTGTGTGTGATAGATCAAAAGTGCACCTTCCTACCTGTCAATATAAGTCCCTATAAAATGTGTATACAAAACCGTGACATGCCTGCTTCACAGGGACATTCACATTGCCACTGCTCATCATTTTCCTTTGGAATTATCTGAATCTCATGTGGAGGCTGCCAAACAGGCATTTCATAACATTTGTTCGTTCTATATCCACTCTTGACTCCACACAATAATATTATGATATTTATGATGTGACCAGCATTGAATAATACTACACCATATCATATTATTATACAACCTCTCACACTCTTTCAAAGATATCTTCAGTCTTCTTGTCACCCTGTTTTCAACTAAAGTCTAAAATTCGCGATTCTTTCGAATTCAAATTCAAAAATTTTTTCAATTCATTTGACAGTGACACAAACGAAATCTACAATCACGTGGTGGGGAAACACTGACGTCACGCCCCTCCGCGCACCCCCGCACCATAATGCTATACTATGAGGTAAGCATTTTGTTCACTCCGCAACGAGATTTGAAAATCTATACGTCGTTACCATGGATATTAATTATTTGAAATATTAGAATACGTTTCTTGAGACTCGTAAGCAAAGAGGATTTGGTTGTGACATTGAAATGACAAATATTCAGTCTAACATCAGTAGTAGATTGTGACTGTTCCCCACATTATGTCAAATTACTTGAAACGTTGCATAGCGACAGACTTTTAGTTCAGGCAGATAAAGTACACCTTTCCCAAATTTATTTGGCAGTCATGATTGTTGGACACACATAATATCCAAATATCTCGGATTATTCAGATTTCAGATGATGAAATGAAAATGACAAATATCTAACCTAACATCATGTGGGCACTTCGAAGGCGCAATTTAATTACTGCATGGGAGATACTATTCAGATTTTTTGCTATTCAGTGGCTTGAAAACGAATGACATTGACGTTTTAGTTTTCTGCGCATCCAAAATCGAGATGCTTGAGTCGATTAGATATGGACACAAGATTCCAGTGGAAAAACATAACTGGTTCTTATTAGAGGATTGAACTGAACCTTGATGTTTAAATTATCATTCATAATATTGATCAGCGCGGTAGTTCGTCTATTCGGCCTCATAGAATCACATATAAATCCTATGACTAAGAAATTCCACGGACCACACTTCAATTTAAATCACAGCACAGGTCAAATATACTTGTTCTAGTAAAATCAAGGCACTGTACCTAGATGAAGTTGTTTATGATCTAGGATTTTAACAATATATCGGCAACACTGTAAGTTCCTTGACTTGACAGTTTTGACAGTTCAGACATGACTCTGTGACACTCTGTGGCACAAACTTCACAAACACAAATTCAGCTGGACAAGGAGTACAAGGACAAGCTGGACAAGTGGAGTGTGGACAAGTGTCAGTTGAGTTCAGTCATTAATTGTGTAATAACTCTGGAATTTGTTTATGAAAATGTTGTTAAACGTGAAGAAAATGTGAAAAATGGGTGCGAAAGACTCTAAAAGAAGTTGTTTGAGCTATGAAGATGCTGTCAAGCGAAGTAAGTGAACATTTTCCGGAGTATTTTCCTCAGATACCAATTTTCCAATCATGTGATGTATGTTTTTAAAACGTTGAAATAATGTTCTTGAAAAAGATGTATAATTAACAAATGTACGAACTCGATCAAGGAAACTAGTATGTCTAATTGGACATCAATTTTAGTCAACTCAGTTTTCTGTTGTCACCTTTGAATAATATTGTTGATAACGGAGATATCAAATTGTGTATTGTGTTTGTTGATAATTCGTGATTTCATTTGAATAATTAAGTTGATTTCAATCTCGTTGATTGTTGATAGTTAAACGGTTATTTCCACAGTAATTTTTTTATATTAAATTAGGAAGTTGTTTAATTTATTTACAACATTCATTCTGACCCATTTGGTTGTTTATTTATGTAACAGTCAAGTCAACTATTTTGCATAATAATTTCTCTGAATTCTTCGCAGGAAATTATATAAGCAAATACCAAGGCAAATACCAATAAAAGTGGTAATTGCTTCTCTTTAGGTATTTGACGAGGTATTTGAGCATATTATTTGCAACACCTTGTCTTTTTCATGATGATTCCACCTACATAGATAAGTATATATTATTGAATATAGAATTTGAAGAAAAAATACTTCAACTCTGCACTACTTTTTCAAATTTGCATAAGCAGAATAGGTACTGCTGCACTGAAATAATGTTAACAGCATTTAACAGAAATACTGTTGCTTCAAGGAGTGATGAAAAAGCTATGATTTCTTAAGTAAACAAGTAGATAATCCAATCCAATAGAACAATAATGGTTATGTTTACTTTGCTTTTTTGTATAAATTTTCTGTTCCAAGGTCAGGATTATTCTAGTCTATACTGCTAGTCAACAGGTCAACTATAAGTACTCTTGTGATTTTCATTGGAAATCCCATGAATCTCTACTTTATCAATATTATCTGAATGTGCCCAATAATTGGATCAATCTGATGGGGATAGACTATTTCTTTGATTCTTTCCTGTGAAGTCAAATGATCATTTGAGATGCAAAAATTGCACTTATTCAAAATCTGATGAATATCTATTTTTTGTTGGTTTCCCCGAGGGTTTCCCATAATCCTAAGTATTTTGCATGGAACTTCTTCTCATACCGTTCTCCCATTGTTCAAGTGTTATTCAATATCTTATTTGCATATGCAGTAGTAAACCACATACCTACACCACAAAGATGCAATATATCAGGTAGGAATGTATTGCTTTTATTCTCATGATATCACTGAAAATATTGAATATTTCATTTTATTCTGTGAGCATAAAAAAGAGAAAAGATTAGATCACTTGAAAAAATTGGATGGATCTAAGTGTATAATGATAAATAAACAAATAACAGGTGATGAGGTAGATATTCAATTAAATATAGATATGTTTTAGGGTAATCTGTAGACTTTATTTGGTAATTTGCTTAGTACATAAAAGCTCTAAAACACAAGTTATTCAATACAGCTTCTGGAATTTGCATTGAAATTATTTGTTGAATAATTATCCAGTTTTGTTCTACAATCTCGGTAAATATTGAATATGTATTTTATTTGTTTTCAAAATCATAATTTTATCTTGAGAAATTAAGGAGTTGGGTATTTTTGTACCTACATGGATTTTAGGCATATGGCCATCAATAACTGATATAACTGATATGCATGATAATAATCATAATTAATAATAATGGCGAGAATAATAAGTGATAATCCAGGTAATAATATTAATCAGATAAACGTACAGAATCAGTTTTATATTGAATTCGAGATTCAATTTTTATCTATGATAATGAAATGATTATCATGCTTTGTGTCTCAACATTGTTTCTATTAGATTTGTTTGGCTGGCAACTATTTTCATTGAGCTTTCAATATAGGTGATATAATGAATATAAACAATTTGGCGAAAATATTGTTGAATCGGCAAATTTCCTAGGGGTCAGTGAATGGCGAAAATAAAAAGAAACTAGTCAAACCCAATATTTTCTTTAAATATCTTTCGATTTTGTGTCGTTTGTTACTCCTGAGAAAATTATGTACAGGGTGGGCCAAATTAGACACTTCTAAAGGGAAAGTCCTATTCCCGTACTAGATAGTTACAAGGTGTTTTCGAAAATGTGAATTCTTGAAAAGTAGCTAAAACTCTTTTTTTCGGCAAAAATTTTTCTTTCTCATGAAAACATCTTGATAACATTGTGTTTGTCATGAAAATTGATCCTCAGGCACTAAAATCATTCACCATAAATGCCTAGTTTCAAAATAGAACTCTTCCTTTAAGAAGAACAATTTTTATTCTTGAACTAGATATAGGAAGGCTGATTTCAGTGCCTCGCGGGAACAATTTTTATCATAAACTCAATGGTTTGCAGTTATCCTCATGAGAACAGACAATTTCTGACAAAAATATTTGTAGCCACTTTTCAAAAATGCCCATTTTCGAAAAACTTGTAATTCGCTTCACCCTGTACACATCTTGCCAATTTCGGCGTTAAATGCTAGTTTATTGCCGTACTGCCGATATATTGCTGATATTGCCGACTAATGCCGAAATGCTGAAAATTATTATCAACGTCTTACGACTAGAATACCTAATAGTTTTTTAATGTCTCTCAACAGTTCTAAACATTTCTGTTTTCTGTATCCCGTTTGTGAATACCTTCATACTTATTCATCTATCTGTGTTTATGAAATTGGCAAATAGGTAATATCTAAAATGTTCCAAACACAAACTAAGTACTGATAGCAGACATAAGTATTCCACAATTCAAATATCCAAATTATCCAAAATGTTTTGTAGCACATTTTTCAGAGAAACAAATATGTTAATTCCCTTTAAATACTAGTTTGAGAATATATATTTTTTTCTACTCACATAACTAAAATGGCATTTAGCGTACAGATATGTAGGTATACCACGCTAAATGATCGATTAATCACGGATTGTCGATCTGTGATTTATTCAAAATATTAAACACGTTACCATGGCAACATGATTTCTTAAACACATTACCATGGCAACACAGTTCATTAAACACAGCTTTAGTAATTTGAAACATGTCTGGCCTGTCAATTGTATCAACTGTTATTTTCAAATTTTGTATCAGAATTATTCAAACAATATTCGTTTGTATCAGAATTCTTCATTAAAAATATATGAGAAATGTAGACGAAAGTGAAATCGAAGAGAATGTTCTGGTAATCCAAGAAGTGTAAAAATGAAGCATCCATCTTTGAGAACAATTGATTTATTCTGTGCTAAGCATGACAATAAACGGGAAATAAAGGTTAGTAAGCAATGGACTGGACAACCTCCATTAAGCTAGCAGAACCACTTTGAATTTTTCAATTTTTTCTTCGGCCATAATTTTAGGCTAATTTAAGGCTAATTTATTACCCTATTGCCGAATTTATTGCTCTTCGATTTATGTAAAAAAACGTGGGTTCTGCTAGCTTAACGTTAAGCTAGCAGAACCACTTCGTAAATAAAAGTTCAATCACAAAACTAATTATGCCATAATTTAAGGCTAATTTTAGGCTCCAATCCTAGCCTATTGCCAATTTTTTCGCACATTGTTTTTTAAAAAAAATAATGGGTTTTGCTAGCTTAACCGTTAAGCTAGCAGAACCAAATCTCAAATAGAAGGAATATAAGAATATCGAGTGCACCATAATTTGAGGCTAATTTTAGGCTCTTCGTTGAACCTATTATCGATTTTTTTCAAATGATTTTCTGCAAAAAATTCCCGAGATCCAACATGAACATGACAAACCAATAGCAAACCAAAAAAAGGTTTAATCACAAAATTAATTCATCAGCAATGATTTGAGGCTAATTCAAGGCTCTCATCCTAGCCTATTGCCGATTACTTTGCACATTGTTTCTTCAAAAAGTCATGGGTTTTGCTAACTTAACCATTGCTAGCAGAACCAAATCTCAAAGAGAAGGAATACAAGAATATTGAGTACACCATAATTCGAGGCTAATGTTAGGCTCTACATTGAACCTATTATCGATTTTTTTGAAAATCATTTTCTGCAAAAAAATTCCCAAATCCAACATGAACATGCAGGACCGTCTTTCACGTATCAGAGGCCCTGGGCACATTAGAATAATGGGGCCCCTATATGACCATAATAAAGTACTATTTCCGTCGACCTCGTGTTAACGAATAAGTTTAATGTTTATGAAATCGTTCATTAATGACCCCCTATTAATGATCAATTTGTCTATTAATGCACGATTGTTTTATAGGCAACCAAACATACACCGCGTGCATTCATTGTTCATGCTATAACTCACGGAATCTGCATTTGAATCATTTATTTTCTATGTTGATCATTTCGACAGATGTCAAATGTCACTAATGTAAGTAACTAGGCTACTAGGTGATTTTTAGTAGTTTCCAGATGAATGATGAATTCGCGAACCAAGTTTTCTTCATTGCAGGAGAAATGAGAAATATAGTCAACAGAAAAATTTTGTAACCAACTCGTATATTAACAGGCGATTAATGATCTCGAACATTAACATCATTTATTTTCTATGTTGATCATTTCTACAGATGTCAAATGTCACTAATGTGAGTAACTAGGCTACTAGGTGATTTTTAGTAGTTTCCAGATGAATGATGAATTCGCGAACCAAGTTTTCTTCATTGCAGGAGAAATGAGAAATATAGTCAACAGAAAAATTTTGTAACCAACTCGTATATTAACAGGCGATTAATGATCTCGAACATTAACATCATTTATTTTCTATGTTGATCATTTCTACAGATGTCAAATGTCACTAATGTAAGTAACTAGGCTACTAGGTGATTTTTAGTAGTTTCCAGATGAATGATGAATTCGCGAACCAAGTTTTCTTCATTGCAGGAGAAATGAGAAATATAGTCAACAGAAAAATTTTGTAACCAACTCGTATATTAACAGGCGATTAATGATCTCGAACATTAACGCGCTAGCTTCGCTCGCACGTTAAAATATCT